ACTGAGCCGTGTGAATTTTGCACAAAAGCAAAAAAGGTGCGAAAAATGAATTTTTTTTGTCTTTAAATTTAAATAACTGTTTACTGATTCTTATCATATGTTCACTGATGATCATTTTATATTCAGGTTTTATCGTATCTTGTCAAATTAATAAGATTTTGTTTAAAAACGATGTTATTAGTTTAAAGATTTGAATGTGTGGGATTTAATGAATTAGCTTTTGTGTCAATTTGCTTATTTTGTTATTGATTTAGTAAGAAATTTAATGAAATGAATATTTACTGGCTGTTGATGCAGTTTAAAATAAGAGTCTTAGTTCAGAATACCTGAAATTTCTTTAAATTGTCACATTTATTCACCTCAAAAATTAATAAATTAATAATTTCAAAATCTTTGCACCATCGATAAATTCCAAATTAGGCCACAACACAAAAACTCATGTTAAAGACATCAAAATATTTCACAAATAATAAAATATTTCTCAAACTGCTCAAAACTATTTGAATGATAAAATTTGTTGTTAATCATGATTCAAAGCTAATGGATGTTAGTCTCACGAATCTAACCTCTTCGGAATTGTAAAATTCAAAATTAATGACAATCATTCGCAAAACAAATTCATGATTCATTCTGCATAATAAAGTTTTTTGTCAATCATAGAAAATAATTAAAAATTTAGAGAAATTTTATCAAAAATTCCACAAAAAATTAGCAAATCATCCTCAAGTGCTCTTATCACATCATATTAATTTTCTCTAATATACGTTTTGTGTGATTCAAGTCACAAACCACAAGACTCAATTCACTTCCCATATACATAATACTGTATTTATCAGACAGATGATCAGAGACATCTCTTTTGTTAAATATTTGTCTTTCTTCTCTTTCACAAGCAAATAATAAAGTCTATTCATGATATATGACTTTAACAGCTCCTCATAACACTGTGGCTTTTTTGCGGCAAAAGAAATAAGAGACGCGACAGCAGAAGATTAAGAGAAATAAAGCAAATTTATCAAACCAAACTAGCCGAGTGGTAAAATGTGTTAAATTAAATAAGAAATTTAAATTGAAATCTGCAAAATCTGGTCATTTTAGGCTTATTAAGTTGTATAGAAAAGTTTTGTGGAATAATATCTTAATTCGAAGACAGTATGAATTGGTTATGTATGATAAAACTTATATAGATCAAACGACAATGTCTCGTCCACAACAAATGCAACAAATAATAAACATAAAAATGATGCACAACAATGAACATCTTGCAAAAATATTTACGTCAAAATTAGAGTCACATACTTATTCAATTATTGTGTCCATTATCATTCAAATTTATGACTTTCATTGTTAACAGTTGCCGTGTACGTTTAAAAACCTATTCGTGATTTGAATTCATAATGAAAAGTATGAATCGTTTCGCACATTTCATGAGACGCGCCTAAAGAGCGACATTTGATGTTAATTAATTTACAATTCACACTTTAAAGTGTCAATTTCTCCCTCTTGCCTTTTTTGACGACTTTTTCGTGAGAGGTTAAATTGTCATCCACATATAAGGTCAAGTAGATTTGCGGCATGAATCAATTAGGAAATGAAATATACCTTGGAGATATGAAATTCATTAAACGGATTACTCATGACAGCTCCTGAATAGATTTTTAACATTCAACTTCAAAACAGTAAAGCAATAAAGAAATTTATTCAATTATGCTAAAATTGAGATGGACATAATTTTTATTTTGCGATACATGATATAACAGCGACATTTCAACCTATCGTAAACTGCTGCGATGATGAGGCGCAACTGAGAAGAATAGAGGAGATAAATTACTTGCATAATTAATCGAATGATTATTGATAAGTTTTTTATGCTTTTTAATTTACTGTCTTTCACAGTTGCGATTATCTTATCGGGTCGATCTGTCTCGTTTGCTAATTTTTATTTTTGCTACTGCTTGTTGGTTTCCTATATATGTGGAATTTTTTTGTGGAATTTCTGTTGATTTTTTCCGTGACGTTAATGGATCTTTGGTAGAATTTATGATTTAGTTTACCTTCAAAAACGTCTGTGGGCAGTTTTTCAATAAATGATAATTTATCTTCAAATTCTTCTTTCTTTTACTAATTCTATCCATTTTCTCATCATCTAAACTTCTCATTTTTATTACCTTTTTCCAATTTATTCAACTTATAATTATGTTTTTCTGCTAATATCACCACATCATCATAATCATCACCATAATTATAAATATAAACGTTTGAATTTTATATGAACTTTACTCGCATATCTATAAACTATTGCGAAAAAAACTGATTGGTTTGCTATGCTAATTTCTATAACAGCACGCGATTCCAATAAAAACTGTGAAATACATTTTATTGTTGGAAAAAGGAAAAGAAGATGAAAACATTTTTTGCATGTTGAGTGGAATGTTAAATATTGGGAGTGAATGTATGAAAAATGTTTTAAAATAATTTGAATTGGTTGACAAATTTGCTGCAAATCAATCAAATAAGTCATAGAGACTCTCCAGTGAATTGAGATATTTGTAATGAGATAGAAGGTGTGTCTTGAAATTCGGCAATGTCTGAAGATGTCTTTCAATGAAATTCAACTTTATACTAAATTGAAAAATTCATAAAATACTTTCAAATTTCAAAAATTTTAAATTTTACACACATTTTGACGCCACATAATTAATAAAGCAATTATAATTAAAAGCCAATAAAAATTCAAAAGTTTCGAATTCAATTTCATCATAAAAATCATAACCATACCTCCTTTAATAATTTATTCAGCTATAAAAAATAGCAAAAAGCATGTACAGGTCAAAACGGCAGTCAACCACACCTCTTGCGAATATTTTTGTTTATAGTCAAAATTAAAATTTAACATGAAATTTTCTTTGATTTTGAAAAATTTGAGACATCAAACAATAAAATACAAGAAGCATTTAAGCTGCAGATTTATTTCGCACATCATTGTCTTGTCTGATAAATTAGACTTATGAGATAAATGTGATAGACATGAAGATTTAAAAATATCAGCAGTCAAATTTAAATACTCTCAAACAGCAATTTCTCACTTTCTCGGACATTAATCATGTGAGGATTAAAGGTGGCTAAATTTGCATTAAAAATCAATTTTTTGAGAATTATAAAGGTTTAAGTTGAGGACTTATTGTTGTTTTGACCTCAAGATAAAGAAATTTTAGGTTTAACTCTTAGTGTTGGGTAATTGCAAGCCTTGATTTTATTGATAAGACGAATCCTCAAACTTATAACTAGTAATAAAAGTTTTGAAAAACAAGAAGCCATATGAAGTGATAATGAAGAATTTAAAAATCCATTTAGTGATAAAATCGTTTTATCGGCTACTCAAATGACATAAATCAACATTGATTGCTTATTTTGGAACTAGTTGAATAAAACATTTTAATTAATTTTTGAAACCAGAAATGTAAGAATTCAAAAATAATTTACAGCTTCATACCCAACTTTGTATCCAATTCAACATTAAAGTTCGAACTAAGTCATAAACAGCATGATATAAATGATCAACAGAAAAGAAATTGGCGAACATCGAAGACACGAAAATTTCATCTTCTAAGCCATAATGTCAAACCTTAACCAACCTTAACATTTCAACTCAATTTTATGCCAAAACATCATTTTTAATGTGCCAAATTAACATTTAAATTCCAACTTATCACTGAATAATTATAATTATTTATTGAATGGACATCTCTGCATTTACATCGATCGCCGCTTATTTTCTACAAAGCTTACGATTTCGACGTAGAAGATGACAATGATGAAAAATTTATGAGCTATTAGGTTGTATATTTGTAACATTTTCAATAGAGTTGTAAGCTGTTTATGTTAGTGGTTCCTATGACTCTGTCTTATTTATGAGAGATTACAACATTTTTACTGCTTCTTTCTTAATTTTTTTTTGCAATAGTTGGCGCTTGCTGGCTATTTATTGCATTGTAACGAGGAAAAGAATTAAAAGACAAATGAAGATGTCAACATTTTCTCTCTCTTGTGAATCTCCGCTATTAATAAAACAACTGAAGTTTGTGGGACTTTTGCATGATTATTTTGCGAAACAAGCTTAAAAAGTTTTAATTAATTTAAGTCGGTGAAAAAAAAATTGACAACGATTGTGAAAAGTAATTCTTTTGTAAGCATTAACACGTAAATATCAAGTAGCTTTGCTTTATTGAACCAAAGGATTGGCAAAAAATTATTAGTCTCATAACATGCGCCACAGGGCATTTAAAACATAAATTTTCAAAAAAAATAATACATTTCATGTGTCAATTTCTCCTTTTGGAATCGTTCCTAAATGATGTTTATGGTTAAACAACCGTCATTGGATATCCATAAACCTCAGCCATACGCTATGGTATTGTAAAAGAAAAAAAAATTTGCACAACACTCTCACTCCTAAAAGTATGACTTCATTTGTGAAAAAACCCCTTTTTATAATAGCTTCATTTCAATTTTTAATGCTGCTAACACGCAAGGTTATCTGACTGTCTCCAATGTTATTATTACTATTGTCATTATCATTTAAATCGCTCAGCAAAAACAAAAGAGATGTTAAATGAGAGAGAGAAGTGGAAGACAAAATATTTGTACACGATTATGATTGAGAGGATTGCTTTTTGAACGCCTGACGATTTTTAAGTTCAATATTTGTAGAATGATTTAATTTTTGCTCCGGGGGAAATAAGAAGTTGAAGCTTTTTTCAAAAAAAAAATACGTAATTATTTAACTCAATATTTGAGAAAGATTTTAATATGCTCAAATATGCTTAACAAATGTTGAAGTGAAAAGTGTGCGAAATTGTGGCATTGGTGATGACTCAATTTCTTAAAATAGTCGAATCAAATGTTTTGTGTCATTTTTAGGCTCACTTTTACTTTCTAAACTTAAACAACTATTAAAAATGATTAAATTCTAACCTCAAAATATCTTCTTATAATTATAGAACGGTTTCTGCCAGGCATTAGAAGTTTGTTGTCAATTCTCACAAAGCAAATCATCAAATCTTATCTTAGACAGTGATTTTGCCGCTGCTGCTCAATCAACATCAGAAGTTCTCACAAAGGAAGGATATGTCGTTAATGTTCCAAGCAATCAATACTTGCCATCAAGACCTGAACCAGAATTTAATCCAGATGCAACAAATCAAGATCCATCAAAGATTAAGCCTTCAACTGCTGCTCCAAGATGTACAAATGGCGCTCCAAATTATCCAGATTGTTGCTTAAACGGAGGTTCAGGTAGGATTCATTTCTTAACTATTATTAACATATAATGAGAATTATGTTTTGCAATTTTAGGTCCATACTGCTGCACAAATGGAGTTACTAACAATCAATACTGTTGTACTAATGGAGCTCAAAACCCATCATGTACATTCAGTGATGAAATCGTGCCCCAACCAAGACCCACGCCTGCTCCACAACCAATTCCAAGTCAAAGACCATACCAACCACAACCCACTCCCGCTCCACAACCAAGACCCACGCCTGCTCCACAGCCAATTCCAAGTCAAAGACCATACCAACCACAACCTACTCCCGCTCCTCAACCTAGACCCACAGCTGCTCCACAGCCAATTCCAAGTCAAAGACCATACCAACCACAACCTACCCCTGCTCCACAGCCCAGACCTACCCCTGCTCCACAGCCTAGACCTACCCCTGCTCCACAGCCTAGACCTACACAACGTCCATACCAACCAAATCCAAATGTTAACGTTCAAGATGAGGCTATCTTTGTTCCAGTTGCTTGTGCCGCTGCTATGAATTGTACTATTGCTGAATTCTGTGATGCTAATGGAAGAATCTCAAAGACACAACATGATACAAGCAATATAATGAGAGTTCCAATGACAGATTGTCTTATTGGAGGACCTGGTGGACAACCAGGAAAATGTTGCATTGACCCAGACTATACTGATCCATGGCCAACTGGCAGAACTGGTCAATATGTTGCTGATGAATTAAATGCTGTTTTCGATGATGGCTCATATAGACCAGATCGTCAAAGTCAAAGAAAACGTCAAGTGCAAAATCGTGGACAAGTTGCTGCCAATTCTGATCAAGTTGTAACACGCGTTGCTCCACCAAAAAGAAATATCGCAAGAAGACAAAACTCAGCTCCACAAATTAATCAGGTTGCAAGCGAAAACAGAAATTTTCCACAAATTGTCTCAGCACCAAAATCACAAGTTTCAGATGAAGCTAAATGTGGACTTAGAAATTTGGTAAATTGATAATTTTTTTGATGTTAATCAGGTTAATTCAAAATACTAATCTTAATATATATACTTTAAATCACAGGGAACAAGACCAAGAGGAAAAGCTCCTTTAGGTACCGGTTTTGGCGAATTCACATGGGTAGCTATGGTCATTTTGGAATCAAAGAAAGCTCTTCTCTGTGGTGGTGCCATTATTCACAAAAATATTGTTGTCACATCTGCAAACTGTGTCAATGGGTAAGTATCATAGAAATGCTTTGAAGCATGTTCCTTACTTAGATATAAACCCCATAACAACATATCTGAAATCCCTACAATTGAAACCAATTTAATATTTAATTAAAATTCAAGCCACCGTCATAATGACGTCTTAATCAAGGCTGGTGAATGGAGATTAGGAAGCGACGAAGAACCAAAACCTTTCCAGATTGTTCGCGTTCAAAGAATCATCTTCCATCCAGAATTTAAGCCAAATACATTGCAAAATGATATTGCATTGCTTTATTTGGAAAATGACATTAAATGGGATGATACTCATATCCAACCAATCTGCTTAGATGAAAGTGATGCTGAGGTTAAATCAACTGACGAGTGTGTGACAACTGGATGGGGCAAAGAAGTCTTGAAAGGTTTGTGGATTTAGAGATTATAAAAAGAAGTTTTAATCAAATGTTTTTGACTTTTTAGTTCATCTCGGAAATGCTCTCATGCAACACGTCAAGGTCTCAGTCCTCCCACAAGCTGACTGTCAATCTCAACTCCAATCAACAAAATTAGGATATTCAAATTCAGTCCTCTGCGGAGTAACGCAATACGATGCTTGTCAAGTCGACAATGGCAGTGCCCTCGCCTGTACAGACGGTTCAGGACATTATGTATTGAAGGGTATCTACTCAACAGAAACTGCCTGTGAGAATCCAAATCAAATTGTCGCATTCACAAGAACAGATCTTCAATGGATCACATCAGTGATTAGAAATCCTACACAAGCTCGATTATGAAGAACGAATTTAATTCCTTAAAACTTTCTTCTTTTATTGATTTAATATGTTTTTCAACTAGACTTTACGTACCGACATAGGATATTTCGAAATAAATGATTTAAGAAATTTGTACTCATCTACATACATAAACATTCACACATACACATGCATGTATTATTTTCATAAATTTATCATATACTCGCACATACACACACATGATTAATATAAAATGTATGTCTCCTCAAATTTTACAACTTACTCCTTTTTGGGGATCATTTAAAAGAGATATGTTTAATACGACAGAATGAATGTGAGGATAGAGAAATTTTTGGGAAGAAGCTACCCAAAGCCTGCATCATCCTCAAATCCTTACTTACATTTAGATATCTCAAAACCCCAAATCTATTTTTGTATTAAAAATTGTAATTTTTATGCACAAAATGAATTGAATCGTTGATATTATGCTTAATTGTACTTATTATTATCCATTACGTACTTTTTATCATTGTTTTAAGAACCATTAATTTTACTTAAATTTAGAAACTTAAAAAAACCCTTTGTGCTCTTTAAATCCTAGACTAGATGATAATTCACTAATTAGTGACGACTCTTTTTCTTAGCAGTGCCTGAATTTAATGTATGGGAGACAAAAATGACGGAAATTTTGGAATAAGATATGATTCAAGTTTAGTTCAAATTTATATGAAGTCGAGACTAGATTTCTGGTATTCTGTTTAAAACCGGCATTTGCTAGACCAACGATAATGCTATTCACTATCAAGATGGTCGTAATTACTTGTAATTTTCTACATACCTTAAATTCTCATTCATCCTTTTGTAAGATTTGATAAAATAAGCTTTACGATGAATTTTTGTGCTAAATGATCACAATAATATCAAAACACTGTTTTAAATTATTACTACTGATTAATCCTTGTCCTCTCTCGGACCATAGATCATAACTTGAAAAAAATCTCAATACAGTTTTGGAATCAAATTTTAATTGTTTTGATAGAGTTTGGTCATTGTTTTGTTTTAATACAAAATCATAATGCTTAATTGTCTTTTAAACGAGAAACTGATGTATTTATTAAGCTTGATTAAAATCACATTGTAGAAATTTAAAGAGAAAAAGAAAAGAAATAAAAAATCTTTACACTGAACCTTGTTTAATATTTTCATTATCCTTAAAATTAACAAATTTCAACACAAACTTTTACTAGAGTTTTTTTCAGGATTTAATTAATTTAATTTTTAGGATTCACTTATTACGTAACGCTTTTAGGGGGAGGGGGGGTCTAAGATTTTGTTACGATTCAAACAAGGAAATTTTTTTTCATACAAATTTTGTTACGAGGGGGGGGGGTCTAAGAATTCATTTTTTCGCGTTACGTAATAAGTGAACAGCCCCTAAGGAAACAAGGAACAACTTAAATTATTTATTTGAAAAACTTTTATTAAGTTCCAAAGCAAATAACACTCAAATAATCAATAATTCCAAAAGCTATTTGTGTTAAGCACCATGATGTAGTCGCCAATCCCTTTTCGATAAAAAATATGAATATTCCAAGTGCAGGTTGCAATAAAAAGCTTGTGATTATAAAGATATATTTAAATACAATTAGAGCTGTGCCTAAAAAACCAAAAAAAAAATAATTTAGATTATTTATAAGCAGTAAATTGGCTTTTACCCTAGCGAGACTTACTAGCAAATTGCTAGTTTTTCTATTCTACTACTTGCAATTTACTAGTACAGGGGGTCCTCGATTTGAGTAGGTGTTTTGTTCTAGTAAAATCCTATTCAAATCGAATCTACTCAAATCGAATTATTTACTTTTTGTATGAAAAATGTCCGTTACAAAAAAGTATTTAAAATTTTTTATTCATTAATTTTCGTTACTCAAATCGAATCTTTTCAAATCGAATCTACTCAAATCGAGGACCCATAGTAGTAAGTTGTTTTAATAATTACTATGGGTCCTCGATTTGAGTAGATTCGTTTTGAATAGATTCGATTTGAGTAACGAGAATTAATGAATAGTAAATTTAAAATACTTTTTTGTAAGGGACATTTTTCATAAAAAAAGTAAATAATTCGATTTGAGTAGATTCGATTTGAATAGGATTTTACTAGAACAAAACACCTACTCAAATCGAGGACCCTCAGTAATAGTAAATTCCACTTGCTATTTAATTGCAAATTACTAGCAAATTACCATGTAAAATGATTGATCAAATCTGCTTAAATTCGAATCCTACGAAAAATCATCAAAAAAAAAAGATTTTTTTGCGTCATAAAAAATTCTATTCTAAATTTGGCAATTGCCATATATTTCATAAGAGTGCGCAGAAATCACCTTTATAAGGTCGTTCCAAATTTGTATGTGACTTTCAATTAATTATATCTTCCTCAGGTTTGCGTGCGAGTCATGGGCGTTCATCAGTGATCGACTTAATTAAATTAAGTCTTTTATTTTAATTCATAGTGTTAGTGTACTTTAACTAACTTTACTAAGTGCATACTAATACTTTTAGAATAATTTACACAAATAAGAAAAATCAAAAGAACACGTGGAAATCAACGGTTATATCAGGGGGGGACAGAGCAAAAATTTCCATAAAAAAAAACCCAAAAATGTTTACTCTGATGAAATTTCCAAGTACTCCACTTTGTATTGGAAAAAAAATTGTCGAAAAATAAAATTTTCGCAATACTTCCTTCCGATGCAGTTTAGGACCGAAATTTTGATTGGAGCTGATGAGAATCATGATTTAAGACCTTTTGACATCCAAAAAATTTTACTTCGATGCTTCAGTTCCTTTAAATTTGACTTTTTCAATTTCGTTTGTGGAGTACTTGGAAATTTCATCAGAGTAAACATTTTTGGGTTTTTTTTATGGAAATTTTTGCTCTGTCCCCCCCCCCCCCTGGGTTATATTCATTAAATTTTTTTTACAAATTTGCTAGTAAATTACTAGTTAAATTGTAAGCGAATTGACTAGTCAATTAGCAAGTGAAAATGTGGGTCTTTGGCGAAGATTTGAACTTAGATTTTGACTAGTAAATAGCAAGTAGCAAATGGAAAGTTATCCAGTAAATTACTAGGAATTCACTAGTGAATTTCTGCTAGGGTTATGAACTCATAAATCTGACTTAAACAATTTTGAACAAGGCAAAGCAGGAATTTAAAGTTTCTTTATGTTTAAAAATGTATAAAAATTATTTGACATTCAGAATTTTAAACTTTTCTTTTCCTCTCCAACTTTCATCATTTTCCAGCAAGTGAGATCTTCTTGTGATAATCACAAAATTTAAACTCTATTAATTTTGAATGGCAATGTTTAAAACTCACCCAACAAGGAAAACAGAACCAAAATCAACGACAGTGATGTTATTTCAAGAAATCTGACGGCAAGTACTTCCAGTCCCATCGTGAATTGATTAATATGATTCAAAGTTCAGAAACTATTCAGTACACTCAATTTAACAGCGAATTTTGTTGGATTATTACTTTAAATTTTAAAATGAATTGAAATATTTTGCTCAAGAAAAGGAAACTGTTGCTGCGATCATTTTAAATTCAATTTCTTCATTTACGCAACGTGAAACGTAATCAAAATTTTTTTACAGTGTAGAATAATACACGTGAGAAGATCTAGCGAATATCTTACTTTTTCAGCATAGTCAGTGGTAAAGTTCTATTAAAAAATGTTCTATCTATCAATTTCAAAATTTCTTGATAATTTTTTCAGCTTGAAAAATGTTGAATCCAGCATTTTCTATTCAAAAACATTTTATTCCAATTTTAAGGCATACGTAAAAAAAACTTCTGCATGTATTTGTGTTAAAAAACATCAAACAAAACATTGTAAATGAAGTAAAAACATTTTGTACAGCTTTTTGTTGTGTCAGTTCTCAACTATTCTTCTGTGATCTTAAAAGTGAAAAATTGTATTTCTGTAAAATAATTAATTTTTTAATGCATTTTCATTAATTTAAGTGAAATTTGCTCATCAAAATCTCATGAATGACCACGTCGTGTGCTCAATAAATTGAAGTTAATCTTCTAGGAAAGTCAATTATTTGCCTTAAAAATGCAAAATTTTGAAATAAGTGATGTAAATTTCGATGACCGTAAAAAGAAATACGACATGAATGCCATTCATTTCCAAAAAACAATGGCTGAGATTTCAAAGTTGAGATCAAAGTCATTACTATTCGATATTGTTATCAAAACTGGAGATAAAAGTTTTCAGGTGAGGATGATTACCAATAGGAAGTACTAAAGAGTGTTAATGTAGGTCATGAAATGAGAGTGAATGACTGTGACTTGATTCAATGACCTCATAAAGAAATGTGTGTATGTATAATGTAAGTAAATCAGTTACTTGCTGTGCTGCTTTGCATTATTTGCCATTGTAATTGTTGTGTAAATTTCAACTTTTTTTAATACTTGTGGTAAATGAAATGAAAATAGAGATTGCTCTGCTGCTCCAAACGGTTTATGGCATTTCGGAAAAATTTCTGTCGAAGCTTTTTTTTTTCGGTGAATCTTTAATGTGAATTGCAAACAAAAGACAGCTGTCGGAATGACTGTAATGACGGAATTATGAAATTATGAATTTCTAAAGATATAAAATGTCTGCAATAAGTCTTGCGGCTAAATGCAATGCAAAAAGTGATTTGGTTTGGAGAAATATTGTAAATGTAGGGCATTTCGTGTAGCTTAATGTGGATGGAAAAGTGATCATGCAATTTCTATGGAAAATGGATAAATAATCCATAAAATTTCTATCCATTATCATTTCAGGCTCACAAACTCCTCCTGGCTGCAAGTTCTGATTACTTTCGAGCCATGTTTACAGCAAATGGAAAAATTCTTGAGCTTGAAAAGTCAGAAATACAAATCGATGGCATCTCAGCTGTTGGAATTGAAAACGTACTGAATTTTATTTACACTGCCAAGTTAGAATTATCATTAATGAATGTCCAAGAAGTCTTATCAGCTGCAAATTATTTTCAACTTCCAACAGTGATTGACGCTTGCCTAAATTTCCTTGAAGGTGAACTTGATACTGAAAATTGCATTGATATGCTCATCATAGCTGAAAATTATTCGCTGATTTCTTTACGTGATAAAATTTTGAAGTTTATTTGTGCTCATATCTCGGAGATTTCTAAAAGTGAAGAATTTTTGAGACTCCAAGACAATCAAATTGAGAAATTATTGTCATGTGATCTTCCCGTTGATTGCACTGAGACGGAAATTCTTCGAATAACGTTAACTTGGTTGATTAACTGCAGAAATGATTTGAAAAATTTACCGAGAATATTAAGAAACATAAATTTTAAGGAAATTCCAGTGAATGAAGCTGAAAAAGTCATGAAAGCATTAGAAATTAAGAGAACCGACCCACTATACACTGCCGTATGGAGTCAAACAATTCCCTTCCAAAACTCATCAAAATCATCAAATGACAATAAATTACTTAATCATCGTGGAATGGAATTAGCAATAATAAAAATTGGTGGATTTGAAATGACTGGCATCACAAATGAAATTACTTACTCATTTCCATCATTTGACTCATTATCATTGCCATCAATTCAAGAGCCATGGAGATATTTAACGGAAATACCACACATTAAGCAGGGATCATATGGAATATCAGTATTAAACAATTGTATTTATGTGATTGGTGGTAGTTATGATATAAATTTAGACAATGAAGATGTGCATCCATTTGGCTTCAAGTACAATCCACTTACGTCCGAATGGAGTACAATTAAGCCAATGAACTTCGATCGATGTCGATTCTCGTTAAATGTCATTGAGGGATCACTCATCGCAGTTGGTGGACATTCAGAAGGTCTTTTTCAACGACATTTGGAGAATAATGAAGGACAAAATGTCGCGACTGCTGAACGATATGATGTTAATACTGATAGCTGGACAATACTTACATCCTTACCTGAATATCGTTCACAACATGCTGGTGTAAGTTACGAGAAAATACTCTTCATATCTGGCGGAATTGATCATTATGGAAATGTCCTCGAGTCATTTTATCAATACGACAACAGCACAGACAGATGGACAAAAATCTGCAATTTAACACCGCGTGCTGATCATGTCATGTTGCGTGTTGATAAAAAGATCTACATTTGTGGTGGATGGAATGAAATTGATGGACAGAGGAGATTGGTCTCAGCCATTGAGTGTTATGACATGAAAACATCAACTATAAGTACAATTACAAATATACACACGCCACGATTTCATGCTGGAATCACGCTGATCAATAATAAAATTTATGTCATTGGAGGATTTGCGACGGATGGTGAGTTGTTTTTGCTATTGCTTTTTGTGCTTTATTTGTTGAATTGGGAAACTTTTTTCGGTTTGAGAGTTGATAAATTTTGTGGATCTAATTTTTTAATCTTCAGTGGCATGAAAATTTGGAAATTAAATTTGCAATTTAGTTGCTTTTTTGGTGTCATGAAGTTTCTGTACTCTAAAATTTCTTTCAAAAAATTGATGTTAACTCTCAAACCTTCCGAATTCATTAAATTTTTTACTTAATTCCACACTTATTTCACAGACATCTTCCGTCACACAGCAACAAAGATTGAAATTTATGACATAATTGAGGATAAATGGTATTTCCCGGACAAATATCCGAAGCACGTTTGGGAACACAGTCTGACTACGATTTACATACCGAAAGAAGTTGAAATTAAGTAAATTGTAACGGCGAGTTCTTTGTTGCGAGGAAATCAATAAACATAATCAATAGCAATTAGCACTTAAACTTTCATGAGAAGAAAGAACTGTTTCTTACATTAATAAACTGTGAATCTTCAATGTTTTCTATTGGAAGTACAATAACAATGCTATTCCGTGGAATCTCTAAATTGGAATAAGATTATTTATAAAAATCATTGCGGAAGTGAATCGTGACGCCTTCATACTCATTTGACAGCACAGCGTCTTTTTTAATTTAACCTTTATGGGCTGATAAATGTCGATTTATTTTGCAAGAACTGTTAAACTATCCAGTGAATTTAATACTTGACTATAACTTGTGATTTACCTTTAAAATATTATTGATATTACTTCTAAAGTACTTATCTGTTTGTATTTACTTTAATGATATTTTATGTGCTAACGAGTTCTGATTTATAAGTTAAGGAATTGCATTTTTTTGTAATTTAGTAATAGATTTGTAATTATCTGGAACAAGCATGGTTCAACGATATTTGGATGGCGTCTACAAAAGAGCCAATCGTAGATTGTTAAGCCATACATTATAATCTTGATCCACATGTGAATCAAAGATTCTGACTTCTTCATTTATCTTGACCAAGTTTACTTACAAATTTAATTATTCATTCCAGAAACAACTTTGCGTTGACATTTCTCTAAATAAACCCAATTATTAATTCTTAATAAATAGACTTATAATCAAGTCGCAATTGATATCCTACTAGAAAATGAACCACATATTCATCATTCTATAGAATCTACTGTGTTATTACAAAACTGATAATTATATCTCGTTACTAAGCTTGAGACATTGCGTTCTGAATGCGAACTCGTTAGTCATAATAATTTTCAATGAAAATGATCGAAAATAATTGCCGTAATCGTACTTATTGTAGTTACTTCGTAGTAGAATAAGAATGCAAGAAGAATTTTTTTATATTTTATATAGCATTAAATGAAATAAAGAAGAGATGTATTTATTTATGACATAATTGTTGGTATTTATTGGAATGTTATTGCGTCTTGAGAAGAGACAACTATGAAAATAATGGACATTCAAAAGACGTAATGTACAACAGGGTGTTCGAACCTTTTAAGAATTAAATTCAAAATCTTTATTCATCTTAAACTAAGACTTAAGCTAAGACAATCTTTAAACAACTGTATACATTTCACTCATTTCAAAAGTACCCTCAACTCCCTTGTCATTTTTATGAACTTTCAACTGATGCTTCCTTCTTCCACCACAAGTCTTGAAAATGATTTGACAATATCCACATGGATATTTTGTAGTTGCCACATTATGAACTCTAGAATGGATATACAACAGCTTCTTTTTCTTAAATTTAAGTTGACATGTTGTGCATTGAAAGACTGGACCATTGTAATGAATAAATGAGTGATTCCTCAGTTCTTGTCGCCTTGTAAATGTTTTATCACATTCTGTGCATGGATAAATTGCACCTCGATTTTTAGCTTCATGAACTTGTTCCTTATGTTTGTCTAATTGTTTCTCGTATCTAAATGCTTTTCCACAGTGACAGTGATGATTTCTCTCATTGTACTTATTTCCATGTTGGATATCCATGTGTAATTTTAAATGCTTCATTTGTAAAATTTTAGGGCACATTTCACATTTTATAAATATTTTTATCGGATTGTGAGTTTCTTCATGCTGCTTTAAAATTGACATTTTCTTAAAACTTTTGCCACAAACTGAGCATGTGAACTTCTTTTCTTCCTTATGGGATATCGACAAATGATATTCTAATGCTGTCTTCGTCCTGTAAAATTTCCCACAATGATCACAAATGATTTTTGGAGTAGTATGAAGTGCCATGTGTGCCTTAATTCGTTCAGCACTAAAAAGCTTCTTACAAATCTCACATTCAAATGAGAATTTGCTGTATTCGACTGTACCATAAGCTCCTCTCCCGTGAATTTTCATGGAATGTGTATGCAAATTTTTCATACTCTTAAAAGTCTGTTCACAAATTTTGCATTTATGTCTGACCGATGAAATATGCAGTCGGATGTGCGACAGAAGTTTGCACTTTATTTGGAATGTAAGTCCACAAATGTCACATTCGTACTGTGCTGTCGTGTGTGGTTTGATGACTCTTGTTGTTTTCTTTTTGATGTAAATCCTTTTTGTAGTGTCTATAGACTGTGATGTGTCTTCAGTAGGAGATTTAAGAATTTCAGGATCATCAATTTCCTCTTCAGGATGAGTTATTACCTCGTTTTTATTAATCTTTGGAGTTTGTAATGCTATTTTCTTTTTCTGTTCCTCATCCTTTGTTGGAACAACGACCGACCTTGAATAATCTTTAGTTATATTAATCAACTGCTGCCTCGCAATTTCTGCTACTTCCTGATTTAATTTATCACTTTCATCTTCTTCGTTCTTCACTTTACATCTTCCTTTCTTTAAATGCTTATTCAAATTTGATTTGTACTTGAAAGATTGATCACATCCCGTACACACAAAATTAGTCATCTCGTGCTTCTGCATGTGAATATTTAACAGTTTCTTCTTCTTGAAAATTTGATTGCAGTCAAGGCAAGTATGAATTGTACCATTGTAATGAATAAAGCTATGAATTCTTAATTCCTCTTTCATCTCAAAGCCAGCAGCACATTCGGTACATTTGAAAATTTTCTGATTTTCTTTTTGGTCTTTGTGAAGAAGTTGTTGGTGGGAATCGCGAGTTGTCGTGTTAGCAAATAATCGTGTGCAGTCTGAAAAGAGTAAAAACGTTAATTTTAAACATAAATTCAGAATTTTTTCATTTAACTTACATTTGCACTGCACAGTTAGAGCTTCCTCATGTATAGCATTGATGTGATTCTGGAGCAACCTTCTATACTTAAAAATTTGGCCACACAAATCACATTGGTGCTGTTGGAAGTGAGTCCTTAGATGCTTTCTCATAGATTGATCAGTTTTGTATTCCTTACTGCAAACTTCACATTTAATTTTGTAATATATTCTATGATTGAACATGTGAAGTCGCAGTGAGTCTTTTGTGTTGAAAATTTTACCATCAAAATCACATATGAACTGTTTCGGCTTATGGATGGTATTCATATGCTTTGTAAAATGTGCTTCACTAGAGAGCTGCTTCTTGCATATTGTACATTCGAATTGGGATCTTTTTTTGAGAGGTTTCGACATTTTTAAGTAAATTGATTGTTTTTTGTGATTGTTAATCTGTATCCACTCAGTTCAAGTTAATTTCAATCATTATTAAACTAGCATTATATTTATTTCAATAAAAATTTGTGAAATTTCAAATTTACAGTTCAATAATTTTCAATGTTTAATAAACAAAAACTAAAACATTCAAAGTCTAGCCAATTTTATGTTTTACTAATTAGTCAAACGTAAAATTTTAAACTTTTTTGACTTTAGTTTTCAAATTTTATAAAAATTGTATCTAAAAACTAGATGAATATATTTTAATTTTTAAATTCATCCGGAAATTTAACACAAAAACATTGAGGAGTAAACAAACAATACGATCGACCATATGATTCTTAGTACAAGTTCGATATTTTTTGTTTATATTAAAAGTTTATTTGAATTTTAAAAATACGTTTAAGTTATTTTAAAAATCTTGAAAATCAAATTTCAAATTCAAGACACATGTGGCTTAAAAACTGATTAAATACCTTGCCATTGAAATCTTGGGTATTAAATTTGTATTGAATATTTTAATTGTTCAATATGTCAGATACGACTTGATTTAATTTAATGAATTAAATTGTAACGGATCATTCAATTATTGTTCCATGACATTTTTAATCAATTGGTCATTAATTTTCTTTGTCGATCTTCAAAAAATTTATTGGTGAATTGAAATTGCGTCTCGAAATAATCTTACAATGAGTGGTTTGGACTAATTTATTTTTTGTAAAGATTTGTTCCTGAATAGGTCAAACTAAATAGTTTACCGTTGCAAATTTTTTAAAAGTCATGAAACTTTAAATGTTTTTAATAGTATTGAATAGTTAACAAAAATGTGCTAAAACGCTGTATCATCTCGACCAAAATAAACAACATCTTAAGTCTATAGAATGCTGTGCCTGAAGTTGAAAGGCCTTTTGTTCGATTAACCATCAGATTAATCCAAAAGCGGAGTATTCTGAATGTTGTTTTTTGTATATTTCTTATTTGACCTGCATTCTCTAGACAAAGGCATAAAAATAATAATCTTGGTTGGATCTTTGTATCCGCAGCAGAGTTGTGGAATCGTGATGGTCTCAACAAAAAAAATGAATTTATATAAAGGAAAATCTTTAAATGCGACAATAGAATATCAATTTTCAAGAAACGGAAACAAAAAGTCAACAGCACATAGCGTTCCCAAGCGGTCACCCATCTAAGTACTAACTATGCTCAACGTTGCTTAACTTCGGTGATCGGACGAGAACCGGTGTTTTCAACGTGATATGGTCGTTGACAAAAGTTGTCATCGCTAGTTCCACTTCTAAAAGAGTTCAACATTTATCAAACTTATAAATAAAATATAGAAATAGGGATACAAATTGAAAAATTTTTGGCGGTTGATTAATGTAATGATGATAATTGCTAGTAAAAATTGATCAATTAAAAACAATTAGCATTATTGCATATTTTTTTTTTATTTTTATAATGTGCGCACATTATTAAATCCATCTAGAACATTTGCATAAAATATTCAAATTTATACAGCTCATCTGTAAAATTGAATCTGTAGTCCAGCCATCATTTCCTAGTCTAAATGTGAGCATTCACAAAGCATTTATTGATATACCAAACAATACAATATCAGATAATTGCTATAAAACTTTTACAGCGAAACGATCCATAATAAAAAAAACTTTTATGATCACGAAGAACTTCTCACAGCATCCTTCCACTTAAATAAAACCTCTCCAAACGTGTACTCTTGCATCTCGAGAGATAAACCGAAACATGCTTTACATTTCTTTATCCAATTAGCATTAACATGAAGATGAGAATGTAAAAAGAGTTGTGAGTATAATGAGAGAGATGTGAAACAGAAAATCAATTGGTTTTTTTTTATAGGAGGAGAGTCATAATGAACAGTTAGAATGCTTCTTGTCTCGCATTTTAGCATAAAAAGTCTATGTAAGTGGACGTCTTTTCTTGGACTCAAAATGAAATTGTTAATTTTTGTGAATATTTGCTTCGCAATTTCTGTGGCATTTTGTAATGAAAGTAATGAGAATAATGTGAATGTGATTGATAAAGTTGAAGCAAGATCAACAACAGAATCATCATTATCTGAACAAAACCATGCAAGTTCAATGTCACCGACCTCACCGCAACCTACTTTACAGCCGACGAAGAAGAGAAAAATTTTCTACATAAATCAACAGCAAAGTGGAAAATTCAATGTACATTTGGAATTTAATGATGTTAGTCTTGTGGTGATACCAAAAGCAAAAGATCCGCAGTTATCATTATTGAATTTGCTTCTTGAATCAGCTAAAAAGTCGAACATTAAGCTGAATGAGGAGAAAAAGAAAGAAGAAATTACAAAAGTGAATGGCCATAATGAAGACGATTATTCCAAGTATAAGATGGATAATTATATACATACATCAACTATTGAGCCGTCTATAGAATCACGAGCTCCATATCATGTGGATATATCAAGTACTTTAGCTAGCACACAACCAATTCTCAATATCCAACCCAAGTCTAGCAATAATGCTCAGATCACATCAGATATAACAAGAATTCCACTGTTGAAAATTCTGAAACCAATTCCAATTGCAATTCAGATGCCGCAAACGATTAAGAAAATTGCAAAAAGATCAATTGATACGAGTTTCTTGGGATATGACAGCAACGTATTAGGTGATACGAACATTCCAGACGAAAGTGAAGACGAAAGAGACTTGATTAATACAATTGAGAACAGCGACAATGTTAATGAGTTAAGTAATGACCACATCGAGCATTACAAAACGGAATTTACTCTCTTAGGTGCAGCAGAAAATTGCGGACCAGGTAGAAGTAGAAATTCTTACCAAGTTTGTGTACCGGTAACTGAGTAATATGTCTGTGCTTTTAATCTTATAAAATTTGATTTTTTAAAAATATTTTTTTTTCGGAAGTGGAAGTTTTTAAATTTGTGTCATCATAAAATGAGAATTTTCATTTATTTTTGAGATGCACTTGAAATAATTTGATAAAGTTATGAGGCTTTTCTTGAATTGTCACTTATAATATTCTCATGAATTGCATTAGTTTTTTTTTATTATAATAAAAGTGCTTAGTGAAAAGTGTTTAAAATTTAAAACAGAGTTGTCACTAATTTGCAAAAGAGATCTGATAAAAATAAATCAATTTTTTTACCATGTGTGACAATTCTGATTTGAAAGTATCTAATTTCTAGAAATGGAAAATACCCAATTGAAATAAATTTAAGATTTCATATAAATTGAAAATTTTGAAGTTTGAATATTTTGTAAGTCATTTAAAAGTTGCTAATTGAAAAATGGGATTATAGATCCACTTGTGTAATGTTTTAAATGTTTGATTATTGTTTATTCAATAAACCCTTTAATAATTGATGTCATAAGTGACGCCTTATAAAATTTCCTACCAAAAATAACTTGAATGGATTTACAAGATATGACAAAGTCTTATCATAACATTTTTAAACCAATTTTCTCATCCATTCATATCCATTTACTAAAACTGGCGTGTCATGAAAATTGATAAGAATGAATTTAATTTTATCATGCTTTTTAATGCAGATGTTATTAAATAAATTATTTAATGACGCAAGTGTCAAGGCCGATATTGTTTACATGTATATACATGCATATAACCTTCTTGGCTGTATATAAATTGTCCTTGATTTTTCTGGTCAATCAATGCGATTATTGTAAAGGACTTTGACATGAGCTTATTATGGTCAATTGTCTTTTTAATCAGAGGAGATCGACAAATTTTATTTCAGCAAAGCTGGTAAAATTTTAATGCTTGGAAACTAAGGTTGGTAAAAAAATTATAAAAATTAACGTTTTATTATTTTTGCAAATTTTTATTTATTTCAATTTTTCTTGATACAAATTTCAATCAGCAAAAATATTTTCTGCATCATTTAAAATCTTTATTTTAACTTAATTACGTAAAGCCATCACGCGATAGTAAAATATTTAATTGGTAATCTTCAATTGATATCGTTGTTTAAATTATTTAGTCAATGTAAATGGAAAATGGAATAATAAAATCGTCTTTGAACTAGTTTTAACGAACTTAATCAACTTTAGTCGTTATAGTTTAACTTTGGTATGATTTCTTGACTAAATGATGAACAGGTTTAAGGCACTATGCCTTTTAAATTAATAATAAGGAGGTAATATTTAGCAAAATTGTTTCTAATAAATTAAAATAATGTATGGCAATGTAACTCATCACTTTAAAAGACAAAAAAAATTAATGTGGAATTTTAAACATTTTTGTTGGATTGTCAGCTGTTTAAATAATTTTAACATATTTAAATATAAACTTTATCTTTAAAAATACTTTCCGATCGACAAAGTTTCATTTAATACTAATATAGGAGCTCAGTAGAAAGTACAATTAGTCTTGGCTGTCTGCTGCCAAGTGCGTACAATTTGATTCTAATAATACATATCTCTAAGTTTAGTATGATTGTGTTATACCCTGATTATTCTGAATAATGTGATGTATATTTATGGTTAATAGACGGTCTTAGAATTTCTAGATAGTTTTAATGCATAAATATGTGCTGCAATATTTGAAGTTAAATCTTTTGCTACACTAGAATTATATAAATTGATTATCAAAAGTGTGATACTATCCCGAGGATACTCAAATATTGAAAAATTCATGATTACAACAATCAGAAAAGTTGTATCATTGTTTATAAAATTACTAGCGCATATCTAAATCTCCTGAGAATACTAATTACCCAATTTTATAATGATAAGAGCACTTCAGTCAAAATTCTAGAATTGTTTGGACTATTATCGCTGAAGATTATGTTATCATAATTTCGATGTGTTAATTTGCAGACAGGTGATAAGACTATCGCATATTTTTTGACGCACATGTCTAAATTCTAGATTTTAAAATGAATGTTCCAACAATTTTTATGTTCAAAATTCCACATTATACTCAATACAACCATAAATCTACTCTTTTTTAGTTCGCATCGTGACACCAAAGCAAATTCTATTAAAATGCTCACACAACTGTTGAACCACAACCGTACCGTAGTGAATATGAGTAAATGTCGATAACAACAACATTGAGTAAAGGAAAAAGATTTCAAGTCTCGGCATGAAAATCGATCCGAAACATGCGATTGCCAAGTAAGGTGAAATCCAATTAACTGTCTCACATTTTGTATCACTCATTTGTGAGACAATCAATCGACAACTTATATTACTGAATATTGTTCCTACGAGTAAATAAACAGCTCTTGGATGATTGTAAACGATATTTGAGGGTGAATAATGAACCCAGACTGTTGAAAGTAACAGAAAGATTGATAGCGGAATCAATGGTCGAATACATTCGACAAAGCTGCGCATTTTTCCTGTTTTGTCAGCATATGAACGATAGAGGTTGTAAAAGACTACTGGAATGTTTCCTAGGGCAGTGATATGCAATACGTATTCTGGGAATTGAAAAATGTAATTTTAAAAAAATAATTTTCAGAGTTGTAGAACTACAAACCCATTAAGTGTCCACAATTTAAGCTGGTGCCGAACAAAGGTACACTCCAAATCCAACAACCCCAAATATATGACGCCATAAACATCAATGTACTCCCCCACATGGCACAATCATAGCCCCATGGAAGAAAAAGAACTCCAGTGCTAGAAAAATGAATAATTCGAATTTAATGTCACGAATGTCAACAGAATCTATAAATAAATATTCAGGCTATGAATTTTTAATGAAGGAAATGGGAAATATTAGGGTTATTGTTAGAAGGGATTCTCACTTGTACTTCTCCCAGTGTGAAATGTGAAAATTAATTATAATAGCAAGAAGGACGTAATAAAATCTTATCGGTTCTACAGAAAACTGCTCGCCACGTCCAAAGATAGAGTATAAACAAATCGGAATCAATGATGCTGAGTAAGAATCAAGCCCGTGGTCAAAAAGTTCACCTAACGGTCCGCTTAATTTGATGCGTCGAGCTTGCTTGCCGTCAATACCGTCTGAAATGTGTCCAATAAATTCATTAGAATAAATAACATTGGTAGATGCAGCGAAAAAAAGTCACCTAATGTATAAGCTAGAAAAATATTGATGGCACCGACAAGCCAAAACCAATCAGGAATAGGTGGTGAGTCATCATCGGTTTGAGCAAAAAAGTCCCAATCATAGTACGAAAGTATGACAAAATTAGCTGCCGTCAACAAGAAACCAACAAATGTCATCAAATTTGGAGCGATCCATCGTGGGAAGTACTGGATGTGATGATAAATTTTGACAGTTTTATGATCAACAAATGATTTTTAATTGGGAATTATTATCAATTTATTATCGGAACAAAAAAATTTTATTACCTCAACAATCCAATTCCAAAACGGATGCATAATGTAGATGCTTAATGGACTCGTATCCCTTGCGGAATACTGAAACATATTTAATTAATCATTAAATCAATTTACGTCAATCAAATCGATTGTGAAATAAGGATATGGATTATACTGGTGTAAAATGTTGCACCAACCTTGTATTTGTCAAATCCACTCAATAATTCCTTTGTTAAATATTCCATCATATTTGATTTTGTTTTATATTAGTCACTTAATAAATTAGAATCTAAATTATGAATATTTTAATTAAGCATTTCTGTTTTTTTTTAAAAAATAAAGAAATATTTTAAACTCTAAACCTAGTAAATCTCTAAATCGGTAAACTTTTCGTTCGATAGTGAGGATGTGAAGTTCGAAGAGGTGATTCTCGAAAAACTTGGATGTTTTTTAACCGTTACAATAAATTTTTATTTTTTTTTCAAATTTTGTTCAATATTTAAAACAACAGAATTCAACTTGTTGATAACATGTGGAATGTTAACATTTAATTTGAAGTTGTCGCAGAGTTTTGGATTTTGATTTCATATTTATTGTTCTCGAGTAGGTAGGTTATGTAGAGTATCAAAATGTTCATAGTTCTATGCTAAGAATTGTTCATAAAAATGCCCAAGATTTCAATTACTTTGTGAAAGAAAAAAAAAACAGAAAGTTTTTCGACTTGTGGGTAAGGCTCACATTTTACAACTTCATATTATCAGAACTTAACGTTATAGGATTTTCCAGAAATAATAAAGTTTATGCATCGGTTCTTTGTTATCAAACGTTGCTATTAATATCTTATTGCAATATTTGTCATGCAAAATAAAATAAGTTTTTCCCCGTAACTTAAGCTTACATTATTTCTCTCGTACGAATTCTCAATTTTTAATTTTAAATAATCAACATTCTCCTAGCATCATGCATCCAACCATGACCTTCAGAAAAATTGACACAGTTCATAATTGTGTTATCAAAAAGAAATTTAAATGAGATTTTATGTTCTGTGTCACATTTTATTTTGCTGTGATTAATTTTTACAAATTTTTCGCTACGTTAAAATTAACCCTCTCCTATATTGGCTTAGTTATGCATTTTTGTGACAGTCAACTCAGAAATTTATGACAGGAAATCGTCAAAAAAAATTAAAAAAAGCTGCAATAAAATTAATTTTAAAACTTACAGCCCCAATAAACTCATATTATCGAATTTATTACAATAAATGAAAAAGGTATTGACCATTAAACTTTGATTGCATTTCCTCATATAAAATTCCTTCAATAAAACATACCGCAAATTTTCAAAGAATTCAAACAGAAAAAAAATTCTCATATTTCAAGTGATTCGCATGCTATTACATGTAAAATCAATATCAGCATTTTTTTAAAAAAAATCAGACTTAATTATTTATTGTATAATCACTTGCACTAATTAATTAAAATCATCTCAATTACAAATTGTAAATTGATCTCATTTGTCATTCTCACTTTTCTCAATTCAAATATTATTTCTTGCAATTCCTTCATTCATTAAGAGCATCAAACTTTTAAAGCGTAAGTTTAGTAAAAAATATCACATGTATGGCTTCATAGTCTCTCAATTCTCCGTCTATTTTGCTCTCTGACGAGAATTTTTGTACATTTAATTTTTTTTGTTTCAGTTCTGCTCCGACATTCGAGAAATTAATGTCTGTGATTCTTTTTCAGTTAATTAAAAAAATTATTTTATTACCAAAAATGGTTCTTTCTTGAGATTTGTGGATTAATTAAGATTTAGAGGTCATAGTCGTCAAAAATCAGCTATGGCTGATCCAACAATTCAAACTTTTTGGTGAGCAATCAAAATAAACATTTATCTTTCACTCTCCAAAAATATTTCTTTGTGTTCCACAGCTGTCATCGAAATGCCGATAACTCCGCATATTATCTAATGAAAGAATTCAATAAACAGAGATTCATCATCATATCAATTATTTCATCTATAATCGGCATTTCCGGTTCCATTTATCAAATATTTATAAGAAAAAGTAATCAGGAAGCAACAACACCGAGAAGCCTCATTGGACGTAAAATTATTGTTTATCTTGCATATTCTGACATGTTTGCATCGATTGGGATTCTCGTGAGATCGGGAATTTGGAGTTATGTGAGACCAAAGATGCCATATGAAGACGACAGTGTCAGTGTTTTGTCTTGTTCGATTTCCTCGGTGAGTTTTTTTAAACTTAAAATACTTTTTTCAACTACGACTATGAAGTCATTCTGTGATAGAACATTGACATAATCCGTCTTAACCTTTGAGGAACTTGCAAATTGGATGCAAATTTCTATTCATAAAGTTTGAAAAATTTGAAATGTTTGAAAAATAATTTTTCAATCTGATTCATTTAACAAAACCGTAGGCAAAATAGTTAAGATTAGGCGTCTATGACACATTGACTCGCATCATCCATGCATGAACGTGTCAACAAAATATTTTTTCACACATTTTATCTTTCATTAGGCTTTCATTCAGTTATTCTACACAGCCACGTGGTTATGGACCTTTGTGTATGCATACAACATGAGATGTGCCTTAAGGAACAAAATTGTTCAAGTGCGAGACTTACACATCATTGTATGGTCAGTGTCGTTTTTATTGACTGCCATTGGCACAACAAGTCTTTATTATCCTGACGCAAAGTGAGTATTTCCGTTAAGTTGTTGTTTATTCATTGAATTAAGATTTCGTTACGATTTACTCGCAAGCGTGGCGCCACTTTTAATTGGATTTAAAAATTTTCTAAAAAACATAAATTCATTACACTGCTTAACATTTATACTCTAAAATGTTAATTTATGCTGTATCCACTAACCATAAACTCCGTTCTTTATTTTTCTTCTCATCTTTTGCAGCTGTCATGACATTGAAGACACAACCTCAGCACTGCTGCGTATTATGCCAAATTATTTCGTTAATTATGGTCCAATTGCGTTCGTCATGATTGCAAATCCAATCATATATTCTCAGTGTAGCAAGGAAGTTGATAACCAACTCATTCAACGCTTTGGACGATACACAAACAATGAGAGACAAATACATGATTTATTTAAAATTAAATTCTCTCTAATAATCACAATCTTCTATTTTTGCTGGTTCCCAAATGTTATCAATGCAATTTTGATGTGGACGATGTGGCCTCAATTGTCATTTAACAACACAATTGGACAAATTGTGGTATTTAATTGGTACATAATTGCTGTTGTTAATCCACTTCAGGCATTCTTCAATGCTTTCATTTATCGGAAGTGGAGTGAGAAGCTTTTTGGATGTTGTTGGATCAAAGATTGCTTTTTGAGGTGTTTGGGGTCAGGTATGGATGTCCACCGAACTACACATGTGATATCAGAAGCAACACCATTGCTGCAAAGTACTTCAACTAGGTTAAATAATGAGAGGGTTGAAAATGAAGAGATTATGACGATAGAAGATGATGATCGATTTTATAAATTCTCAATTCAGTGCCCTTTGGTTTGATTGACAGATCAGCATACTTAATAAATGGTTGCTGGTTGGTTAAATGATGAATACTGAATACCAGATGAAGGCGACTTGAAGAATTAAAGTTTTGGATGCAAAATCTCCACCCAACTTGAAAATATCAACTTTTTAAAATCGCATCAAAAACATAAAGCTTCATTCAACTACAAAACATTTTGAAACAAAACTTAATATGTGATTTTTAACAATTTTTCTATAAAATAATATTTTTTTCCACAAAAATGTCCAAAAAATGTGTATTAAAATATGACATTTGCCGGCGATTTCTCACGTTCGAAAGAATGAGAAGCAAAAAACTTTTTTTCTTCTTACCTTGAAGATTCTCAGTACATTTTGTACACTCTCGTTTAAAAATTATCAACAACTGTCGCTCGAATTAGTGAAAATAATTCTTTTAACAATAAGAGTTTATGGTGAAAAACTGTCAGTTGCTGTTGAACTTTGTGTGAATTAAGACATTAATTAGAAGTTAAAAAAATAATTAAGAATAAAAAAATTGATTTAAAAAAAGTGAAAATAAAAATGAAAATTTGGTGGTTTTCATTGATTTTTATGCTAAGTTTTGTACAGCATGTGCCGATTAATGGAGATACTTATCATTATCAAGTTATTCGTGTATGTTTTGATTTGTTGCTTTATGAATGATTTATAGATAAAGATTTAAACACTTACTCTGAAATTCATTGCTTAAAGGACTTTCACACAAGACCGTTCTCAATAAATCCAATTAATGATTTTTTTATCCATTTAAAAACATCAACAAATGACCAAAAAAAATACACAAAAATTTATCTAGTATCAAAAAATGCTTAAGCATGCAATGTCATGCACGCCGAGTCAATGAAAGTTCTCGCTCGTTGGTTGTATTCTGTGACTATGTGTCTATTCACATTTCATACATTTATAATTTTACACACATCATTCGTGCATTTTTCATAAATAAATTTGATGACTTTTGCAATAATTTTATTGCTGTTTAAATTCTATTTTCTTGTGCATTATTAGAAAATCTGTCCATCTGGAACTTATCATGATCCAATGAAAGATAAATGCAGGAAAGTACCTGGTGGAGGAGAAATGATCAAAATTAATATAGATGCTAAATGTTCTGGTGGATTTTTGGGTCTTTTGGCGCATTCAAAAAAATCTCGATTTTATTATGTCTGCAAAAAAGATGGAGTCTTGACATGCATGTGCAAACAAACAGAAAATTTCAACAGAATCAAACTTAAATGCGAAGATAAAAGTCATAAAAAGGAAGGCTTGACACATGAGGTTGTTGATCATATTGTGGATAAATACAAATGCTCTGTCATGAATGGAGTTTATGAAGAAAATGTGTTGTCCACTTATGGAACAACAGAGTATCCACAGGTAACTGGTCAATCCATTGAAGATTTTGATCGTGATAGGGTGAGTCTAAACCAGTCAATATTGTGTATTTTATTTTTCAAAGCTACTTTCTATCTCAACTTAGATCTCCCGACTCCAAAACATCCTTAGATATTTAACATTCATAAGAACCATCAACGATCGCCCCCAAAGTTTTGAATCATTTGAAACGACACCAGCTCTAATCACATCTGCTCCAATTACACCCCGTACAATCATAATCGGACTTCAAAACCCACCAACAACTGAATCAATTCTTCGAATGACTGGGCCACCTGAAGATCCAAGGAATATCGAAATAGACATAGAAAATTTCAGAAAAAATTGGAACTTAGATCCAACTACACCAGCTACAACAGTATTACCAAAAAATGCTAAAATGAGTCCGAGAATTTTAAAGACCACAACTTCGAAGGACGTTGAAAGTACCACAACTGATAGTGAAAATTCAAATGCTGTCAAAACAAGAGTCTCAGATGAGACAACAACTGTTATGGATACAATAACTTCTACCGAGACGACAACTGTTCCAAAATCAACTATTTCAGCAGTAACATCTACTATTTTAGACACTACAACTGTCTTAGAAACAACAACTTTGAGTTTAGAGACTACAAGTGTAACAGAGACCACACTTAAAGGCAAAGATATTTCGTCATCAACATCATCGGAAAAAGAACAAACAACGCAAGAAAGTGACGCATTAGCTGAAAAGGATGAAAGTTCAACTGTTGAGAATGTTGATGAAACGACAGGAAAATTAGCAACTAGACTTGTTCCAAGAACAACGACTGAAATGGGAGAAAGTGAAGGAAAAACTGCCTATGTTGATGATGAAGAAGATTCAAGCCTAGAAGAATATTTCGAATACTATTACGAGCATGAACCAGATAAAGTTTTGTGGAAAACAAATAAGACAAAAGTTAAAGTCACTGGGAAAAATTTCGATGATGAAGATGATGATGGATGGAGGAAGTTTGTTACCATTACTGAATCTTACAATGAAATTACACTTCCAATTGATGAAACTACATTTGCAAGTGAAGAAACAACGGTGATAAATGAAGAAACCACAGTTTCTGAAGATGTTGTGGAAACAACTCAATCAACGACTACTGAGGAACCGGAAGATATTCTAATGGACACAACAACAGAAATTATTGAGGAAACAACTTTAGCAAATACAGAAGTTCCTTCAACAACTACAGAAATTCTCACAACAACGATTTTTGAATCTGAAACAACATCAGAATATCCACCGGAACCTCTTATAAAAAGATTTCAAGGAGATTTAAATTTTAATGATTTTGAGCCAGAAGATTCAAAATCAACATCGACAACGACTGAAATCACATCAGAATTTACAGAAACCTCAACAATAACTCTTCCAAGCACAACATTGACTTTTGATGGAATCACACCTCCATCAACCAGATTGTATAAATTTATGACAACAATAAATCCTGAAACAACGACTAATTTTGATGCAACGACAACAGAAGAAGCAGATTATCAAAAAACAACAGAATTATCTTCTGCAATAACTGAATCTGCAACTTCAAAGTTCGATAACTTAGAACTAAAGTCGTTTACAACAGAAATTCGAACAACTGCAGAAAATTCCGAAATTGAAACGACACCAGCAATGGAAATCATATCAACAACTGAGGCTTTAACTTTAGGTCAAACAGGTAATAATGTATAAAGATCTTTAAAAATGCATCAATTTTACTTTTTCTCTGAAATTTAAATTTTACTTTTAATTTGTCCCACAGATACCACAACTGTTCCCACCACAGATTTCTCAACTTTACAAACCGAAAGCTTAACAATTTTGGATTCAATTACCACAAAAATTCCTAGATCAATGAAAACCCGAGCAAATACTGAAGCTACTACTTTAAATCATTTAGAAACTACAGAAACCACAACAATATCACTTCCAAGCACAACATTAACTAATGTTAAGCCTAAAAAAGTCAAGAAAGTGAAAGAAGAAATCGGAAAGAAAATCGAACCAACATTAAAAATACCACAAAATTCATTTACAGCTATAAAACAAGAAAAGCCGAAATCTGAAGAGTTTGAATATTATTACACGTATGAAGAATATTCTGTGGATGATGATGGTAAAGAAATTAAAGGCATTGGAAGTGAAATTGATGAAAAAAAGAAGAAAATATTGACAAAGACTCGGCGGGATAACTCAAATGAGTATTATGCAGAGTCAATAAGTGCATCTCATGAAGATAGGATATCAAAAGTTAAAAAAGATTATGATTACTTCTCATTGTAAGTCTACTGTAGCTATATATTATGGATCTGATAGTTAAAATTTAAATATAAGTGACAATATTTCTTGAAGTTAATAAATGATTCGAATAAAAGATTATTAAACAAATTTTTGTGTCTTTGAATTTTATCACTCAATTTTCCTAAATGTTAAAAAAGCATCTCCAGAGTTGCCTGAAATTCCTTGAATAAGTGTAATTAGAAATTTTAAAACCAAAACAATTATTTTTCTAAAATTAAACATTTTATTACTCAATTAATTCAATTTTTGTTCCATTTCGTTCAAATCAAAATCTTTCATGATTTTTTTGATTGTGAATTAATGATTTTTTAAACTTGACCAAACTTCTTTTTTTTCTCAAAATTTCACTCTTTAGAATTTTTTTCATTTTCTTAAACTTTTTTTGGGATATAATAAAAGACTTTCTTGTTCTAATAGTTGCAACTTGGCAAAACTAATTCTAAAAGTTAAGCTTAGCAACCAAAATTGACTGAATATGGTGTGCATATTTGAGATTTCAAATATTGGTTTTGGTTACATAAAAAGGTGAAATAAGAACAATGTGATAGATTGCAGAATTTATATTTAATATTTTACAGTATAATTAAATCTTTTGAAATTTAATAAAGTTTAATTAAAAACTCGAAATTTTTTTTGAATTTAAAATGCTTTTACTTAAAACTTTCCTGAATATATTTTTCATCTATTCTAAAATCTTAACTTTAATTTTCTTATAAATTGTTGTTTATTTTGATCAAATCTACTTTTATTATTTACTTCCACAAACAATAAGTTTCCACTTTCTACTCTTAAATTCATGAATTTTGTTGTTTTCTTTAATCTTAAAAGCTAGCTTTATCCCTAATTTTTATTCTACAAGTTGTAGACTACAACCATTCAGAAAATATTTCTAACAATTTTTTATAGAACACTTCCAATTGTTTGGTGATTTTTGTGATTCTAATTTAATTTCTTTATTTTGACAATTTTAGAATTTTACATTTTTTATTAATCTAACATTTTACATTTTATGATTGTTTTCTTTTGGTCTAAAAATGAATTTTTCATATCTTTTGGAAACAGTTTCATTTACAATTTTGGTTACTATCATGGCAACTACGTATTTTTTATTAAGTAATTTAAGAAGAAAATATTTAAACTTAATGTTTTTTGGATTTTTTGTTTTAATTTTTTAACATTATTTCATGATTCTTCAAGAAATTTTTTATAACTTTAACTTCAATTTTTTATCGCTTTCAGATTTTTTCCATTTTTTTATCATTCAAAATGTTTATAAATTTAAAAAGCAGTAAACAAGAAACTGTAACAAATTTTTTTACAAGCTTGATGACAAATGCAATTGGATCCTTAATGATAATATTTATTATAATCATTCTACAAAATTCGAAATCGATAAAGAATTTAACTAGATTAGAATCACTTCTCCTATGACATGAGTAAGGGCTAACCAGAGTGTCTAACTTGACAATCTAGTAGATATTCAATCAAGGAAAATCAAGCAACCGATCATAGTAAAAGATTCTTAACTTTATTGTATTTAATTATTATCGTGATATGAAGTCATGATTTATCAATTAAATTTATTATTTATTAAAAGTTTTCTTAACTCTACAAACTAAATCCTGTAATATGAGGACCTTTCATATTCTATTGTAGTAAAGAGCTCGGTATATTTTGTTTAATTGGCATTAAGTGCTTAAAAATGTTTTTAAATAATTTCAAAAATTCTAAGTGAATAAAATTTCAAATACTATTTTTAAGAAAAATTTTAAAAGCTTGCAAAACTTATATAATTATATAACTTTAGTAATATTTAATAAAAATAAATTCCAATTCAAAATTAAGTTTAACTTGATCAGTTTTTTTATTCTTAAAAATTCCTGTGAACAATTTATTAATTTTTCTTTGTAAAGTTTTTCATTGTTTAAATTCTAAATGTGCTTCAATGATGTTATTAAATTGAAAATATTTCAATTGAAGGACACTTTTTTAATATCTTTTAATAATTAATTCTGATGCTGAGTTTGTGGCAGATTTTTGCTTTAAAATGATTTTGTGTTTTTAATTCAAGTCTATATTTTTTAAAATTGTTATTTAATCGATCGAAGAGAAATATTGTGAATTGATCACAGGCTTGTGCATCATTTATTGTATCGGGAAGCATTTACGACTCTTCTATTTACAGACTAATCTTGTTTATTTTTATTGTGGAAGTCCTATGTCATTTTTACGGTTTTGTTGTCTGAAACTTGAGTTTTTGGATGCATTTTAGGATCTTATCAAAATTTTTACTTTAAATCTCAAGATCCCAAAGACTCCTTTCAACCCTCTTAATTCCTCCCAATTGCCACTTTATCAGAATTTTAATTTAATCTTAGACAGGAACTCCAGTTCGATCCTTTATACGTCCCATAACGTTACCACCTTGAACTTTGTTATATCCTGTGCTGTGACTTTTCTTTAATGTTGGCTGCTTGCTATCAGCAATGCAGATATTTCCACTCGAACACGCACCAGAAATTCCGTTTGTTGTTATAATGTCATGTGCTGGACCGACGTCATGAGCACTAAAAATAACTGGTGAACTTTGTTGCTTCTCAACTTTTGCATGAGTTTCAGTTTGTTTTTTTAGAAGTTCAGAAAGCTCGTGATCACTTTTTTCACTTTTTGTTGACATTGTCGATGACCTTGTGATTCTGTCAAGTTCATCATCAATGGCTTTAAACTGCCAGCTCCAATTAGCTCTGTATAAGAATGGACGATGATCAAAACGATTGTCATCGGGTGAGTAACTTTCCATATGAACCGAAGGTGTCAAAACAGTCATTTTATGACGATTTATAGCATAACAACGGAAAAAGTGCTTAACCTTGTCACTAACTTCTTTCGGTGCACATTCATTGCGCCAACTAGCAACAAGTTTGCAAAACATTGAATATGGTCCACAAGCTGCTTGTTTGCGGAGTCTACCAAACTCACTTAACTCACTGTATGTCATTCCCATATCCTGCTCATCCGTTTGTGCTAATTGACCACCTTGAAGAGGTTCCAATTCAGCTGTTGGTGGTGCAGAAATAATTTCAGCTAAAACAGGAATATTAAATTTTTCCATAGCATAATGAAGAAACTTTCTTAAGTCAGTTTTAGATATTCCACCAATTGGATTAACGTCAGCTGATGAGCAATCATATTTGGTCATGTATCCACGCAACGACTCATCAACATTTGCAGAGCCAAGAACTAAAAGTCCACCGGGTCGATTACGAACCCAAAGCATAAGTTGAGCAAAAAGATAAGAAACAACCATTCGAACACGTGCTTGAATATTTTGTAATGCTAAATTCTGACGTGGACATCCGCCTTGTGTACGGAACTTTGGTGTTAATCCAGTCACAGCATTAAAAATTGACAACATACTTGATACTGCACTGTCAATGTTAATTTCTAAATGATAGCTGCCAAGTTGATTTGCTAACATTGATGCACGACGACGAGTTTCTTTACTTGAGTTTTCTGACCCCATAAAGCATGTAACAAGCAATCGATTGCATAACTGACCAGGATTGTGAGGTGTAAAGTCAGGATCAGCAAGAATTTTTCTAACGTCATGCAAAACTTGAGCTTCACCATGTTGAATAGCATCTACGACCATTCGACACATGCTGTGAATTATGCATGCACTGCTGCTTGAATCAACACCACCGCTTAGCGGCAAAAAGAAACCACCTTGACCAGATCGTCGCAAGTAATCCCACAACCAGCATGCTGGAGCAAGTGCAATTTCTTCTTCTGGCGTGTGATAATGCCATTCAATTGGTGAGTTTGCGGAAATGAAAATATCACCTCGACTTGAAAGCTCACATTCAATACTAATTCTCGGATATAATGGTGCTGATGCACCAAGAGTGCATCTTGATCTTAGTGCCATTCTATAGCTCCGAATATCCTCTAAATCAAAAGTTCCAACTGTAACTTCAACATCAGAAAGTGAAAATTGCTTACTACGTGCAATGATGTCACCATTTAAGGCAATTGCTGAATTTCCACCCCACCACACACGCTGACCATCACACCCACGAAGATTTGAAAACAGATAAGCACCTCCAGCTTTGTATGATGCATTCCTTATCAAATCTGTCGTTATATAAGCTTTTCTCAATTGAAGATAACTTCCACTTCCATTAACCATTATTTCGACTCCTGCTAAGCTCAAATCAATGTGAGTGCTTCGTGGATTCCACAACTCCTCACAAATTTCAAATCCAATGCACGTGTCTCGCGTTGACACGACAGCATCACCAAATGGAACTGTTTGTTGTCCTGTCGCATTTGAAACAATTCTAGGAAGATAAAATTCATCGACATGTCTGACCTTCGTCCACGCTGAGAACCATCTCGTTTCACGATAATTTCCATCATCACACATCATCATTTTTGGTCGGATAAGGACGATCTTTTTATTATAAAAAATAACGCGGCAGTTATAAGCGACATTAAAGTGTTGAACTGGCATACCGACATCAATCAACATATTTTGGGATATTGGTGACATCATAATCTCTAAAAGAACTTCCCAACAGTGCAGAAACGTATCGGATTCAAAGAAATGATCTTCGCAGCTGTATCCACTAAAAAATATGACGAAAGAAATGGGAAAATTCAGATGAGAAATCATATCAAGTCTCAATTTTGATGATTCATAACCTTGCAAATAAAATAGAGTGCTTATAATTCTCCTTGAAAATCGATAAATGCTTTTAAGTAACATAATAAGTGAAGTCATTAATATTTGGTATAAGAAACTTTTCGAACAAAAACCCTTAAAATATAAGCTCGACTGAAACTTTGTACATGTAAATGTCAGAAGCTATTATTTTCGCCATGTATTTCCTTATGATGATTGCATGACGTGACTTCCTTGTAAATATTTTTGGGGTGTTTGAATTAATATTTGTGAACTTTTGAAAACGTAAAATTTTAATGGTACGAACCCGTCATCATCCTTGCTTACTACTCTGGCTAAGACTTTATAATTTAGCAAGGTCCAGTTACTATTTTGATCCCCAAAAAGTATATTTAACAACAAAATTTAAAGATACTTACGGGACTTCCAACTCAGGTCCAGTTCTGTAGACAGCGCCCATTTCACGAGCCTCTAAAATTGACTGCATAATTCTTGCCATGTTTCCTTCAAAATCCAATGCCCACTGGTTCAGCGTACAAGCTGCGACGGTCACTTTTCGACCCATCCTTCGGTTCTTTCGTCTCTTAATTTTGAAATATTTTAATTTAATCAAAATTTTTCAATCAACTGAAAATAAAAGAAAAATTGTTGGAAAAATATTTTTACACAACTGTTTCTCGCGATTATATAAAAATTATTGAAATAACAAACAGAAATTGTTTTGCAAAGGAATTTTCAAAGCAATTGTAGTCGATATTGTTAACAATATGTTGCCAATGGATACGCTAAATGTGTACAAAAAATGTGAATAAGGTGAGCTTTTGGCATTAAATAACCGCAAAAAAGCTCTCGCAATTCTACAGCGATTCTTTCATTGTCGCGTGAATGAAGCAAAATGAAGGAAGTAAGAAGCATAAGGAATGGTAATTAATGTGTCGTGAAAAGCTTGACCTTGGCACTGTTGTGTGAAACATTTGCCGAATTATCAAAAAATCTCAATCAATTATTTTCAATGCCAATTTTCCTTGTTTCCTTGATATGCAAATTTCATCTCTTCGAGCTGATTCGACTCAGCTGAGCATATGACACGAATTTAATTTATTTACTAGGCTGATTCTGATTTCAAATGGAAATATTTTTGAAATTAAAATAACAAACTAGAGGAACATAAAGATTATGTGAGAGTGTTAATTGAATGAATGTGAACAGAATTTTTATGATTTTATTGCGGCGTGAGCATTTGGCTGGCTAATGAGTTTTGTGAGAGATGTTCGCAAAAATGAGTTATAATTACTATAAATTTTTAAAATGTAAAAATTGGTTTGATTGTGTAGCAAACATCTAATTACAAGAGGCTTGATTGTCATCTAGGTGCTCATGACCCCTGATTCTTATTTTATCAGAGCGATACAAAGTTTCATAATTTAAGAGGCAGGCCAAAAATTTTATTGAATAATATCATTTTCAAAACCACAATGATGATAATTCACAATAAATAAATCCGGTCATCAAACCCACAAAAATGATAATTCAATTTAATCATTATTCTTCCCACAAAACCCAAACCACAATTCTCATCCTCTCACAAACTCAAAATATTTTTGTCATCCCATAAATAATCCAGCAATAATAAAGCCAATTAAAATTTATCAAATTACATAAGAAAAATTAATAAATTAAGATAATTGATAATCATGAACCAATTACTATAGCAGCATAAATCCGATGTAATTAAAATTCATTGAATAAAAAGATAATTGAACATCATATCCAGTAACAACAAACAAAACAGACAATTCACACCAACGAAATTGATTCTAGAGTAATTAATCATTTTGTTGTTTGTAAACATTTTAAATGAATGAGAATCAAGGGAAATTATATCCCTAAAGTAAAATTAATGAACGTAAATTGATTGAATTACTACCTTTTGTAGATTTATGCTGCTTATTTCCAAAAAAATATGCAAATTTAAGCAATGATATGCCACAATAAATTATGTAAATGCACATACAAAAAATCAATTCTAACGAAATGAATATGGAAATTTTTTTGGGAAATAGAGAAAAGTAGAACAAGCAATAAAAGGGAAGGGAACACCTGTTTAATAATTTTGATTCGACCTAAATTTACATTTATGTTTATACCTCCTGAATATACTTTTCATTCATCAAAAATCATGGAAAATAAAATAAAATTCGGCAAAATCAGGACATTCAATAATAATGCAGCTCTATTGATTATTATTGTATGTATATGAGGATGTATGACTGTGTGGAATCATGTCTCATAAATTTACAATTTTAAATTGAAAAGCTTTTTGTTTTGAGTTGATTTTATAGAAAGAAAACTTGGATGGTTAATATGAGTCCTGTCGATTCTGTATGGATCTCTTTGTGTAACTTGTACTGAACCTGAGTCTTGTGTACCACCGGTGTGGCATTGTTTTTATTTAGAATCTTATATTTAGCAAGAAATGCGCTTAGTTCACTATAAATTCAAATGCAAATGACCCTTGATACAAACAGCACCTCAATATTCCATATACCAAAAAGCAACAACTGCAAGCAGTAAAACTTTATTAAAATTTCAATTTACAATTTCAGTACTATTACGAAGTTATAATAATTCTGTTTTCCCTTCTCTCTACAATTTTGATTTAATTTTTTCATTTACAACTCAAACATAAAAAAGAGCTTTTTGACTTTCATTCTGTTGCTATTTTCAGGTGAACATATAAGAGGCATTTATAAGAGCTTTTGTATTTTTAAAAATAAATAAATATATGCAAGCGAGTAAAACAGAGGTAAAGTTGAAATGGGCGTATTTTGTTGGTAAAATGAGACTTTAATTTGCAATGTGCATGCTAGCTCTTTGCTGAGATTTAATTAATATGGATTTATAGCAGTAAAGTAAGGGATTTGAGAGGATTTTTAATGAGGAAATATTGAAATGTAATGTTTTGAGGGGATTATGAGTGGGAAAATGATGTAAAAATGTACGTAATTGGAATTAAAGCTCAAAACTTGGAACTTTTTTTTATATACTTTTGATACAAAAAAAAATAAACATATTAAATAAACTTCAATTTATTCATTCCATAATCGCATAAGACTCCAAAATTATTTAATTTCCAATAAACCCTCAAAACTTCATCAATTTTCAAACATCCTTCTCAGAAAAACAGATTTTCCGTTCAATTACATCCTTCAAAAAAGTAGCGGAAACAACCCACGTCATTCATCTCCTTTCATCGAACTCAAAAATGTTTTTCATTGCTTTCTCAACCACTTAAACCGAATGAATAATTGAAATTTCGATTGGTTTGTCGAATGGATTTAAAATGAGGGAATCAAGTATCTGATGATGCAAATTTTAGTTGCCAAAAGGAGGGTAATCGATTATCAGCAGTTTTCATCAAATATAAATGGAATGCGATTTCATTTCTATTTCTATTAACCTTAAACTGTTTAGCATTTTACTTTTACTCGACAATACAATCGTGTAATGAACTTTTGGGGGTTAGACTAGGACGCTTATGATTTGAAAAGTTCATAACCAAAAACGTTTCAACAAAATTTGACCAAATTGCATTACATAAACCGATTTCCTTGAGTCAAATTAAAGGTTAAAAATAGGAAAATATTGCTTCCCATTAAAGTTAAACTCCTTAGATAAGAATATCATAAAAAAATTCATATTCAGTGCACATTTCATAGACAATTTGTAGACTGCACAATAAGGTCCTATCCTTAGGCATCATATTGTTAGGTAATAACAAATAAAAATTACAATAAAAGCTCATTGTAATACTTTTGATTTCCTCTCCAAAAGAAAAAAAAAAACTTACTATAGTAGTAGTAAAATAATCAAAATGAGCAACAAGGAATGAGGAATATAAAAAGTTATTTGATTAGTAAAAAGAAAATGATGTCGTCGTGTTTCAGAATTTTCCTTCTCCAATCTTTTTTTTTTGGAAGGGAGAAAAATGAACTTATAGAAAAATAATGTAATAAAATTTCCATAACTAAATGTAAGTAGGTAACAGAAAAAAATTGAAGTAAAATTTTTTAAGCTAGTTGCTATTTGAGTGTTGTCGAGTGAATGTGATGGAAAATCAGTCAAAAAAAAATTAGATGCTAAGTTGTGTGAAATGTGAATTATTGAAAGTGACGATTTAAATTTCATTTTAGTTTTGCATGTCAAAAAGAGTTTTGTTGCAGTTTGAAGAGTTCTTTTGTTGAAGACAACAGGAAATTCGCGTTGAACCGGCGATTGATAAATGCCAGTAAAAGGTAATTAAATTTTATTTTCAAAGTTGAATATTTTTTGCTAGATTGGTTTTTGTGAATACTATTCAGAATGAAGCACAGACAGTGATCAAATGAAAAAATTAATTGGACAGTCTGAAGCGTTTTCCGTCTCACTTAAGGTGTTCGTGTTTCTGCGTCAAGATTAAAATTAAACTCAATTTTTTTTTAAAAAGATTTTCAATCCTAAGGATTGATGTGTAAATAGCAATAAATTGAACATCCTCAAATCTTTTTAACAACACACGCATCCATGATTTTACTATCGAATTTTTAAAATTTAATGTATTATTAAAGTAATTTGGTTTGGCTCAATTTTCTCTTGCACAACCACTCAAAACTTCAACCCTAAATTATTGTTGTTATATACCCGAACATCCCCTGAATTCAGCAGAGCTAAATCATAAATTCATGTCATTTAAGTAGACTCGACACAACTCTTGCTACACAGAACATCCAAAATATCTAAATAAAAAAAGATCAAACGAGAGGAAAATTAAAGCAAACAGAAATGACTTCTAAAAGTATGTCAGAAACAATTTACGTTTAGAGTATGTAGACTGAATGTGTACATTTGAGCCTGCAGAAGCTTTTACTAAGAAATAAATTGCTCGAAGTTTTTCGAGATTTCAGGAATTTCACTTCAGATTCATTCAATAGGCAATAAATTGGAAAGAATAATAAACGAAAATCGAGGCTGCTAGGGGCTGTATTCCCATGTCAATGACACATAACAATTTTAATAGCAACCGATAAATATTATTACACTTTTTGCATTGATATTATTATTTCTCACCTGAGTCGTTGATTTTTTCGATAATTTGACACTTTTGGAATGTTTCTGTGTAGAAATGCAGAAAATTTTGCTTTTTGAATATGTTTAATCAATGATAATGGTAGGCATGGACTAGAAAACAGACAGCTTAATACAGTCTGTATAGTTTATGAACATAAATATTTACTTTGAGGTGGGATTTTGGAAACTTTTTAAAATTAAGACTATCGTTGGAGTTGTGATGTAAATTGTTGTATTATGTTGTGTCTGACCACAAACGATATTTTGACGATATTTGGAGAAACAAAAACCTTCAAAAATTTGAAGATCAAGATAAAAATTTATCCGAATTTTTTAATAAAAAGAACATTTTGATTCCCAACTTTGTTGTTTATCGTCAATTTAGTAAATGTTTTCAAATGAATCAAATATCTTTCAGTCAATATCTTCACATTTTTTGCTATCAGTAATTCTAATCGA